CTCAGACCTTTTTCAGGTCACATTGCCACCATGATATTCATCGTCAGCGTGAAGTGTCTATTTCTGACTCATGTTTTACAAAAGCACTCTTGCTTTTAACCGAGTCTGCAAGAAATGGTTACGTGTTCTGTGTTTCCTACCAAAACTCACACTAAAAACAGATCATAGCTCTGAGGCCCCGGCCGCGCCAATTTTTTGGAGAACATCTGCTTTTTCAGTGCGGTCCTGTACCAGTGTATGCCAGAGAGACCTAATGTCTAATAACACATCACCTTACTCTGTCTTTTATTGGCTGTACAGCTGGTTTTTTGAGCTTAGTGGTATAACAATACAGTTCTCAAGTCATGATTCTGTACCAACATAAGAGCCTGTTGAATGAGGAAATGGGTACCAAATTACTATATATGACGGTGATGCTGGGTGGATAACCCCGGTAGATCCGTATCCATATAAACAGAACTAATCTAACATTGAGGAGCACTTGCAAACTCCTCGCACCTCCAATGTCCTGACTCTCTCCGAACCACTACACAGTACTCAAATGGGCATACCTCCCAAGCTACCGAAAAAACCAACTACCTAATGCAAAAAGCCAGAGGACCACAACTCCAGGGGAAAATGTTGTATCCTTTCTCAATGCTCCCCGCTCTCCAGACTGGAGGTGTACGCAATGCTCGCTACCCTAACAGTGATAGAAGTCGCAGTGCACTACAGCAGGCCACCCTGTCGGCCCACCTGTCATTCAACGCCTTAACCACACCCCTGTAACTGCCACCCCTCCATCTGACTATCAACAGGGCGGCCATGCTGACTCCTCAGAAACGAGCGCATACTACCACAGACCAGCAGGAAGTCCGCTGGGAAACAGCTGGAGACCTGCCAGGTGCACCATCAAAGAGGCAGACGAAATACCTGTTTACTGCAGCACCACCTCAGGACCAATGCTTCCGTCCCACTGGATGGTTCCTCGTTTCTTTCGTGCTGCCATTGCTTTAACTTCCCTTTCTCCTATGCTTTCTCAATAATGTTTGAATTTTAGTCTGGATGATTAACATCTGCTCAGACTGCCCCACATACTGTCATACTGGATGTTCTTATCCTTTGAACAATGACTGCGTCGCGACTGAAGTGAAAGCTATCGCAAGTTCAAGCACGGAAGACCAAAAGCTCCATTCTATTACACGTCACTTCTTTAACCCTTCTCCCTCCTCCTCATTAAGTGACCGGGGCGCGTCACTCGCAGCTTTACCAGTTTTTATAACTCCTCTCCCCATTCTCGACAAGCCTATCGTTGCACCCCGCTAATCCCTTTATATCTGCTCTTCCCTCTTGTCAGCTGTCATTTCAGGTGACAATACATACGCAACCTCCTCCACCCTACCTTCTCCTCCGTCTCCTACAGGGAACCAGCTAATCTTCTGCCTTCAGAGACCGGTCCACCCTACTTTATCACCACCACCTATGTCATACTTCACTTCTTTGGGGGTTTCTTCGGAGCGGTTCTTCCCCTCCTGAATGATAATCCTGCAAACCGGGGCCTAATCGCCAAACACCATTCCATTCTTCTGTCTCAATTCTGGCAATCATTATTTCAATCATATTATGTGTCCCAGTAATAAATATGTATTTCATACATCAACGTCTCTCCTGATTGAAGTGTTTTCAGGTAACTTTTAGTGAAGATCTTAGACAGAGAGTGCCTGGTTTATTTTTATGGCTTTCTGTTTTGTTCCCTTCTGCTTTCAGAGATGACTTAAACTGTTTTCAGGCATGTGGATGGCAATGGTCCAAACTGGAATATCTCAGCAAGGATTTTATGGATTGCCATCATCAATTTTGTTCAGACATCATTGTCCCCAAAGATGAATCCTACAGACCTCTTTGATTTTGGGCTTTCCCTCAAGTGACACAATGATGTCAACATTTTATGTCTTTAGTGAAATTTCTCAACAACAGATGGATTGCCATTATATTTGGTACAAATATCCATGGTAACAAGATAATTATTCCGAAGCACTTTGGTGATAGTGTCACTTTTTACTTAACTAGAACCATTTCAGAAGTGGCTTCAAAGTAATCACTGAGAAGGTCTGAGGCGACAGAAAGCTGTGACTCTGTGACACTGCAGGATGGCAAGCATTGATTTCAAAATCTAAAGTATTTCCAATACACTCTAAAATGTAAGGCCAGAAATGTTAGATTTTTTATATTTTTGAGAACATTTTTTTAAAAAGCTTACCATTACAAAAGAATAAGCGCAGGCGGAAACAGAGAGAAAAGATGCTTTTTCAGATGCAGACAATTGTTCTCCTTCTGAATCCTCACTTGTATGCATTTTCTCATAACTTTCTCATAACTTTCTCATGTTCTGAACCCATCTCTTCCATCCTTCTACCTCAGGCCTGAGCCAGAAGAGGAGGCTTAAGCTGGTGTGCAGCAGCAGGGCTTAAGTGTTTCCTCTAGGCCCTAGGGCCTGTGGACAGGAGGAACCGCCGCTGGCCCTCAGCCTTCAGGGGTGGAAAGTATGTGTCGTAGGCTGTGCTTCCACCTCCCACCTCCCACCTCCCAGCCTGGGAACGGAAGCTGGGAGCCGCCAGGGAAAACAAGCAGACAATCAGGTAGGGCCTGAGCGGGGAGAGAGAAAGAGAGGATAGGAGGGGAGGCGGGGCTGCTGGATACATCAGGTCCTGAAAGGCTCAACTGAAGCTCTAGGAAAAGCATACAGATGTAATGGGGTCTGGGATGGAGGTTTTGTTTATATGTTTGTGTGAGCATTTCCTCATCCATCAAAGAAAGTGAAAGGATGTGTGTGTTTTCAGAAGGACAGCGTGTATGTGTCTGTGTATGTCACACGCGCATGTGCATCGCTGAAACATAATCTGATATTAAAGTTCAGAGAGTGTTTGTACAGTGTGTGTGGTTTAGCGTGGGTGTGTGAGAACGTAGGGCACTGTGTATGTGTGTGTGTGTGTGTGGGTGTGTGTGTGTGTGTTTGTGTGTGTTTTGTTAAGGACAGTGTGTGTTTGGTTAAAGGAACAGTGGCCAGCAGGGGAACAGGGTGGGTTCAGGGGGGGGGGGGGGCTGCCAAAAGAGAGAGGAAGATTGTGGTGTTCAGTTTCTCCCCTCTTGGCGCTGCACGTAACCACAGTGTCTATGGGGGCATGAAATCTCTCCTCCTCTCTCTCCTCTCTTCTCACTCTCTCTCTCTCTTTTACTGTTTATCATCTTGCCACAAAACACACCACACACAAACACATGAATAAAACAGGAGCTGTTTCACTGTAATGAGGCAGGAAAACTGAAAAGCCAGGAATTTCCCCCTTTTGATATTTATCAATGGTTTTCTGAGTGACTGACAGGGCCAGCAAATTGACAAGACTGGCATTTGTAAATATTGCTGTGTCCTTTTAAACATCTAAAGTTAGTAATATAATAAAAGTGCTCGGTGAATCATTCAAGAGGCGAAGTTTCACAAATGCTACAAGTAATAAATGATTCAGTCCCGACAAATTGAATTACTGTTTTTGTGGAGCCCAGATTCATGTCAACTTTCAAACTTGTTGTATAAGGCATCCAACTATAAAGCAGTCATATTAGGCTTCACAGTAAAAGTGAGATCAAAACCACATATTTGGTCCAAATGTGACTTTTTATGGATAATGACTTTATTTCCGTTGTAGGTGTAGTGACAGAGAATAAGCCAAATGTACATGTATTTTGTTGTGTTGCTATAAAGTCCAGGGATTACGTAATTATCCTGTGAATGTCAGGCTCCCTCAATTATAAAAGTTGGCTTTTTAAAGGATTTACACCTGCCCTTTACTGGAATCTTCTATATAGTTGACCACCACAAGCCGTCCATTTAGGGTATTTATGAGCGTTGTCCCGCACAAAAATCCAACAGATACAGTGGAAAGTTCTGGGAGTGTAACTCATATTTTGCTAATAAATTAAGGAATTTCAATTTCTACTATTGTTTACCTGAAATTACTTAGAAGTGATGGCATTTCTAAGGTAATTCAAATTTGTTTTTTTTTGACATAAATCATTTTAATCTCAGGAACACTTGTTCGATTTATTCAGATCTTATTTATAATGATTGTTATAGTCTGTTTATCCACTTTACCAGCCGGCAGAAATGATCGGGTACGAAGGGTGTTTTGTTTTTTTTACAAAAATAGTACAGTTGCTGTTGAATATTCCAACTGATGTCATCTCTTTTCTCTGAAACAGGGAAGTCACTAACATTTTATTGGACTAAGAGGTCCCAAAGAGGTTGAACAATGGCTTGAGCAGCCTCTTTATGGTTCGAATTCTTCCCATAAATTCTGTCACCTACTTCCTCCCCCATTGCTGATGAGACAGTTATTGAAATGCGTTCATAATCCAGCTCTAGTGCTATTCTAGCCCTGTAATGTGAGTTTTTTTAACCACTGCTTGCCAAGCCAAAAACGTGATTTTATGAGCCAAAACTGAGTTATTAGTCGTCGGTTTACTGATATAAACAGACATATCTTTAATTCCCCAGCCCTTGCGTTCACGTGCTCTTACACTATGTAATTGAAGCCATATGTGATCAAATCAGCAGCAGTCAGGACTGGTTTGGATCATATGTTCTCTTGAGTTTTTTCTGTAGCAAGGTTCCCGTATGGGTCACTGGATCCGGTGTNGCCTACTCTCTTACTTTTAATACTTGTAAATAAAACTTTTGGCCCGTAATTTATTTTCCTCATTGCGACCAGAGAGGTCGAGAGAGGTTGTTACGTTATTATGAGAGTGCTCTGTTTGATTCTGAAATTGTATATATTTATATAAATAATATATACATATATATATATATATATGTGTGTGTGTGTGTAAGTGTGTGTGTGTCCCCGCATCTGTAGCCTGTTATTCTCATTATACTGCACTGTGAATGAATTAAAAGTAAATATATAAGTCGTCATGAACACATCTGTCCATCAGACAGAGGGCTGCTGTGCCTCCTGTCACCATTAGTGGACGTCTCTTTAAAATGACCGTTCAGAGGAGAGGAGTTCTCATTTCTCTAACCGCCTGCTGCTTCCCCTCCTCTCTCCTCGGTTCCCCTCCTCGGCTCCTCCGCTCGCATCTCCTGTGGGCGGGACTAAGTCTCGAGGATAGGAGTCGAGGAGGGGAGTTAGAGAAATGAGAAAGGGCCCATATGTGTTCGGGGTCCGTCTCTTACCAATGACGTCACTGACGTCAGGCACACCAATTTCCCCGCAGGCTAGGCAGTCAAGAATATTCAAATTAGCTTCGGCTTGATGTGGAGATGTGATTTGATGTGTCGTTTGTCCCCCAACTCCTCTCCAAAGTTGAGATATGTAATAAAATACTCAGAGTTTTCCTGAATTTTCATGCCCAAAGCTAAGCACTAGGCCCTGGGTAAATTAAGAGGCTGATCTGGGGCATTTGTGTCCACTTTCCCTGGGGTACTAGAAACTCAAGTCAGGCATCCCTGGAATCGTCTCAGAGATTAGATGATCAGTGGGGCCTTGTTTTTACTGAAACATGATGTTTCGATGTATATTTCCATTGAAAATGCTAACCGCTAGCCACAAAGCTAGCATCGCAGCCACTGCTCCGTTTTCAGAAACATTTTACATTGTTTTTGTTACTTTCGTTGCAGTGTCTTAAATGTAATTTAGGTTAACTTCCTGTTTGAAGTTGTTGCTATGGAAACAACATGACGGAAAAAAAAGTAATATCTTCTACATATAATAACGGACAAAGTAAAGAATGAAATGTAGGCTATGTTTAAATGTTCGGAATTTGACCGTGTATGATGGTCCTCTTGAGTTGTCGTACAGCCAATGGCGTACAGCCATTGCTCCGTTTTCATGTTTTTTTAACATGTTTTTCACACGCTAGGAGTATAGGAATACTTCAATTCGGTTTGTCATGATCTGTAGATGTGATTTGCCCCCGAGCACCCCTGGGTAAATTACCGTACAGCCAATCACAATGCGTACAATGCGTGACGTCACTGGTAAGAGACGGACCCCGAACACATCGTCTACACCGACACCGCCACTGCCTTCATGGGATTAATGAAAAAAAGGCCCCGACCTAAGAAGGTCCGAGAGCCACAGCTTGGAACCAACCGGAAATGCATGCAGCGTGATAAAGCGACGAGCGTTGTAAACAAACGTGAAGGGTTTTGATAGCTGTAACAGGAATGCCGTTTCAAGAGTCCTTTACTTGAGTGAGTAAATAAAACAATACAATATGCCTCCATGCCTTTTTACTGACCTTCTGCCACGTAACTCTGTACAAGTGACATGTTACACGTTAGCTTTTAATAACACAGTGGCTCCAGCGTGTCACCTTGTGCTATTTACATGTAAGAAAGTCACGTTTAAAAGCAGTCATTAGCAATTGGTCAAGTCAAACTGTAGCTGATCATTAGCTTAACCAGCTACACAGACACGATATTTTGAAACTAGTAGCTAGCCAGATGGCTAGTAAAGTAACTTGTATCATGACTTCAGCTAGCCTCCTGAAATATCTAATCTCATAGGCTAAGTACATGCATCGAGGATGTGTAAAGACAACGTTGTACATGAATATTAACGGTTGACAAAGACAATTCCGTCAGCCAGCATCTTACTTATGCTTTCTACAACTGCATACGTTAGCTAATATTTGACATTAAAGTTAGCTGTGAGGACACTAGCCACTTTTTTTGTGTTTTTATGCTAAAAAAAGTAAAAACATTGATTTGCAAACTCAATAAAGTGTCATACTTTTAATACTATTCAATTATGCATTTGTTTGTGTTGTTTGAGCTATCCATAAACGACCTAGCAGTATTTAACAACATACTATTCAAAATGTGTTCAACAAACCTATATTGGGAGCATTGAATTGGGTGTTCAACAAATATAATTATACTTATTATTAATAAATATATTGTAATGAGTAATGTTAGAAAAAATACTGATAGTATCTTGAAATGCCATATTCACAATAAATGCAACACTTGCTCATTATATACTTGTTTTTTTAATGTATACAATTATAAAAAAAGGTTATGATACATTAGGAACTGTATGGACAATTCTCTGATGGGAGACATGAATACACAATACTTGTTACAGTCACAGTATGTTGGCTCATAATTATGTCCTGCAGCAGACATCGCTTAATTCTACGGTTTGTCCTCACAGAACTCCAGGATGTTGTGTGAAGTCCTGTTGTCATCGTTATGGTTCCTGTTTGTTATCTTCTGGGTCGAGACAATAGGTGTTTGGCTGTTTCTGTCTATGTTCTACCAAGACCGGGCTTTTTACTACTGGGGAGATGGGTAAGAAATGTGTTTCTGTGGTTTACCTTTTTATCTTAGTCATTTATTCATCATAGTTTGTTCATTATAAGACTTAAAAGCAAAAATAGTTACTCCACACTTTTCAGTGTTATTTCTAACTTTAGCAAAAATGTAACATCAAGATTATCCTGGTCGGGATAATTGGGATTCTTCCTTTTATTTTTTCAAATATTCTTAAAATGGCAAAAACTTGAATTAAATAGCCTTGCATTCAATATTACATTAGTGAACATACTTTTTAGTGAAAGACTATCTTAAATAAGTCAATCATAAATCACACGTTCCATCTGCATAAATAAAGCAATATTATGTGAGTGATGTTTTTAAATGATCATTCAAATCCACTAGAAATCTACCAAGAATATTTTTTTACATTTATTGTTTTAAGCGCAATCCACAATTAAAATCCTGTATCGTCTCATTCCGGTCCTTAGCCTTACTTTTTGAAATGATTCTAGCTGTTACAACTTTTTGCCATGAGTAAATAATCATTTCATCTTGTTTCATAAGAAAAACTTAATGAAGTTACAGGTCAACCAGCTAGGATCACCAGTGACTGTGATGCCACTTTGTTCACAACACGTGACTTGTCTGTTTATGTATAAGTACAGTGAGAGAATAAACGATAGAATCACATGCATTGAAAGTTAAAAACCATGACTCTATTTTCTTCATAGGACCCAAATGCAGACTTTATGACTCCTCAAGCCCCTACTGAACAATGGATGGAAAAACACTTAAGACCTAATTTGCAATGTCCATTATTGAATCATTTTTGCATGCTCTGTTCATGGTTTAGTTAACATGATGTTTTCAGAGAACTATTCTTTCGATGTTACAGGGTATTTGCAGATGATCCTGGACAGATGATAAACATGTTTAGCAGGCAAGGACTTCATTCAACATTTTTTAAGATTATTACAAACAAAAATAGGACCCATGCATATTTAAATGCAAGGTTTAATCTCTTGTCTCTCTTCACAGAGCTGATAACGACATGCAGACAGAGATGCAGACCTCAGACCGGCAAAGATGAAGACGTCCTTCTAATGGACTTTCAATAGAATGCATGGATACAACGAAGAACACATACAGAACTGTAGCTATTTCTCCTTTGCACTGACTAACTGCTGTGCACAGCGCTTGTTAACATAAATATATGTAGGCCCCCTCTAAGTAACTGTTGGGGAAGAGTTACCACTAAGACTTATAGGGAATGATTAATACAACTTGTATGTTCCCTTTCAGAACTTTAATAGGCAAGCAAAATCAATGTAGCAGAAAAATAAACCTCATATTGTGTGTCTTTGTTTTAATTTTGTCTTGAGACTTGGGCAGAGATTCTGTTTTATTCATATGTTGTTTCATGCAACTCGAGTTATTGCTATCTGCAGTGAAATATGTTTTGAATATCAAATTGCAGTAAATCTGTGCTGAGTTGTTTATATCAATGTTATAGTCAGGTGTGTGGGTGTATGTTTTATGTCACAACCTTCAACAAATAAGTAATCTAGCTTTGAATATCAGAGGTGATGGAACCATGAACTGAACACGAAATAACTATAACAAAGATGTCATTATTTGATCAAGGAATTTATATTTTGCTCTCTCTTACAGTAATAATCTGGTAATAAAAAACTACACTATTTATGGTTTAAGCATTTCAAATATGGGAAATACAACATCATGTTATCTGTTGATTTTGATCAGTTGTGTATCTCTATTCCAATATAAGACTTGTCAATACTGAGGACACATAATAACCGAGCTATATTTATAGCAACTGCAAAAGCTCAAAATGCTGTTGAAGATAACAGGATGGGGCAGAGAGCCCTGAATTATTTTTTGGACAGAAAGATGCAATATGTAATTTATTTGCCAGAAACAATATGGGAGCGAGTGAACACAATGGCAAATATCCTCTCTTAAAGCAATAGTTATACAAGTATTTGCAAGCCTGTAAGATTATTTGTCTTCCAACACATTGCTTTTCAACAAAACCAGCAAATTATTTGGGTTTTATTTTGTAGCTCAGACAAAGAATGTCAATTTGTTTTTGTATCAATATGTAAAATAAATGGAAGTATTTTGAAGGCATGTTTTTTCTGAGTGTACTTTCGAAATACGTTACATGCCAGGACAGCAGGGGTCGCTGACATAAAGCAAACCCTCTCTGTGAATCTCAAACATCCTATCCTGCCGGGTACAAATAAAAACATGCCATACAAATACTGATTAAGCTCTTTGCTTGATGAGCAGATGAAGACCAGTGCTCTTGGTCGGTGATCCGAAAAATCGACTGAGATTGGAGAAGGTAGACTGGACTGTGACTGGATGAGAGATGGCAGAGGGAAGTGACGGGCCAGGAAGCGAGTTAGGAGACATGGAAGGAGTAGGCGGGAGTTATGGAAATGGAGAATGGGATATAGTGAGGAGGAATAAACGTAAAAAGCAAGGAAATACTAATTCGGATGAGAGTAATAGTGAGGGTGAAAGGAGAGAAAGAGTAGTCGGAAATAGGCAACAGGAGTTCATGGTGGTTGATGGATGGGGCCTAAAGAATGCTAGCTAATCTAAATTGGCATATTCCCAAGTGTGAGTCGTTTGTTCGAGGGAGAAGCGTTTCTAATAAAGNGCAAATTATTTGGGTTTTATTTTGTAGCTCAGACAAAGAATGTCAATTTGTTTTTGTATCAATATGTAAAATAAATGGAAGTATTTTGAAGGCATGTTTTTTCTGAGTGTACTTTCGAAATACGTTACATGCCAGGACAGCAGGGGTCGCTCACATAAAGCAAACCCTCTCTGTGAATCTCAAACATCACCGCCGGGTCAAACATCCTATCCTGCCGGGTACAAATAAAAACATGCCATACAAATACTGATTAAAGTTGATTTTGCGTTAAGCGTGGATCATCTGCCATATAGTTGTTGATTATTTGTGCAAACAATTGTTCACAGTTTCGAGCAGTTTGTTAATAAAAATGGCTCCGACGATTCAGTCCCAATCCCGAGAAGACGGACACAGGTAAGAAATAATATCTAACAAGGTTCTCAAACTGGCTGTTGTCTGCAGTGTTGATGTGATCGAGTTCATTCTTAAACCTTGACGGGACATTATAAGGTGTCTCTGTTGTGTACAACATAAGCTAACAGTGCTAGTTAGCTTGCTAAACTAACAAGCAAGCTTAGTGTCAAGTTAACTTATGCTAACCTGCCTGCTAAGCTAACTAGGCGCGCTAACCTTAATATTGAATACTAACACTAACATATAGGTACATTTAATCTATCGAGTTAGTCCAAGTTATTTAATATAAACGCATTTCAATTTGCTTAAATTGTGTTAGTGATAGCTAAACGTTGTTTACGCTAATAAAGCTTAGCTAGTTCTAATGCTAATAGTAACGTAGAATTTCTTGTTTTTTTATGAGAAATATGGAAATGTATGAATTCTATCTGCATTATATTAAATTATATAACAATACATGTTGAAACAAAAAAAAAACATATATATAGGCTAACAAAATGTAAATAATAATAATGCAAATGTAGACTTATGATTAGGGTGTTAAACTGCAGGATTAGTACAGACTAGAATCTAGTTTAGTTTAATATGTACTAAAAAAAAATATATAGTGTAAATCTAGTTTTAATAGCAGAGTATTTACACAGTGTATTACAAAATGATTGTAGGCCTACCGGTGAATCCGTATAACACGAGTAATAATAAATAAATACTTTGTGAGGTTACCTAACATTAGTAGTAGTAAGTTACTGAAAATGTAAATACTTTATGAACAAGAATATCACAATAATTGACTAAATAGAAAATGTGGACTACATGCATGATGTATCCATCAACCAGAATGTAGAGAGAAAGTCAAAGATGGTATCAAAAAGAGTAGAACATTATCAATGAACTTTATTTATAAGGTTATAGTCTGACAAATATGTTTTCTCTTACAGTCGGCAATCCTCTCATAGAACTGTTCCAGAAAGGTAAGTAGATTAGGCACAGTTTGGTGCATTTATTTTACAGTCTCTCCCTATAAAAGTAACACTTGTGAATGCAAATGTGTCTGGGTTACCTAACAAGTGTTTGTCCCATACTTTTGTGCCCATGACAGGTCAGGGGTGGTCTGTCGAGTGAAGTACTGCAACAGCCTGCCGGACATTCCCTTTGACCCCAAATTCATCACATATCCATTTGATCAGCACAGGTGAATATTCAGCGTCTTCATTCATGAACTATGCACTGATTAACATGGGCGCAGATTGACATTTGTTTTTCTGTTTCTGCAGGTTTGTACAGTATAAAGCCACCTCTCTAGAGAAGCAGCACAAGCATGAACTCCTGACTGAACCAGACCTCGGGGTCACCATTGATCTCATCAACCCAGACACTTACCGCGTAGACCCAAGTAGTAAGTCTCCTGTTGTTTTTACGTCACTTCCTTTTTATTATTTTCATTTTAAAGAGACAACTGGGCTTTATCGTCTCTGTAGACTGACCAAATATTTTACATTTTCAGTACTGTTGGATCCTGCTGATGAAAAACTGTTGGAAGAGGACATCCAGGCTCCATCCAGTTCAAAGAGGTAAGGCTGCTGAATAGGCAGCTGTGTTTTATTTTTACTTGCTTGAACATTTTTTCAATTTAAAATTGTTTTCTTATTCCCTATTAGGTCACAGCAGCACGCCAAAGTGGTGCCGTGGATGAGAAAGACAGAATATATTTCTACAGAGTTCAACAGATATGGCGTTTCTAATGAGAAAGTGGAAGTCAAGTAAGTTGGCTAAATAGGCTTACCGTAATTTTCGGACTATAAGGCGCACCTGAATATAAGCCGCAGCAGCGGCATACCACTCTCGGTTCCACTTTTACTTTTGCGCGCTACCTGTCTCACTCTTTTCCGGCCTCCAGCTTTTCCTGCTGGAACCCGCCGCTTAAAGGTGGGGGTCCGCGGACCGGCCATAGAGCCCATAGAGTTAAAGGTGTTGGCCGTTAGCTGTAAAAATCCATAGATTAGCCGCACCGTTATATAAGCCGCAGCGTCGAAAAATAGGGAAAAAAGCGCGGCTTATAATCCGAAAATTACGGTACTTTGAAAATACCGAATAGTGGACGAATTTGTGTGTATGACATGCGTGTTTTTGTTTTAAGGATCGGTGTATCTGTCAAACAGCAGTTTACAGAAGAAGAAATCTACAAGGACAGAGATAGCCAGATTTCTGCTATTGAGAAAACATTTGAGGATGCACAGAAATCGGTAAGCGGGCCACAACGAGCCTTCCCAAATTATGGCTGTAAACTGCTCTTAAATTCAAGCAACTTCAAGGGTAAAATGGGCATTAGTTGTTGTGGTTTTCTCCTAGTTATTGCTCTTTTTTTAAATGTGTTGTTATTACTCTTCAGATTGCACAGCACTACAGTAAACCCAGAGTTACTCCCGTGGAAGTAATGCCTGTGTTCCCCGACTTCAAGGTGAGCTATAATTTCCCTATTTTTAATTAATTGACTCGGTGTATGATTTTTGTTGACTGTAGTGGGAGAAGTGCAGTATGAAAATAAATAAAAAATGTGTACACTTGTTTCTCTTTCCCCAGATGTGGATCAACCCATGTGCTCAGGTCATCTTCGACTCTGATCCCGCGCCTAAAGACTTGTTAGCACCGCAAGGAGTGGAAAGGATGTCACAGGCTATGATCAGGTCTCTTCAGAATATGTGTTGCATACATGTGCGTTTAAACAATAACATTTTTGTATAAACACTAACTTATTTTACACATCTGTTCAATACAGGGGTATGATGGATGAGGAAGGCAATCAGTTTGTGGCCTACTTCCTGCCCAATGAAGAAACAATCCGCAAGCGCAAGAGGGATTGCGATGAGGGCATGGATTATATGCCTGAGGATCTGTATGTAGAAATATTGCATTAAGAAAGTCATTTAAAAATCACCTTGTTGCTTTGCTTGTACACCAGGGAGTAATAATGTATTTTATTCTGTGTTTCAGGTATGATTACAAGATAGCCAGGGAGTACAACTGGAATGTCAAGAACAAAGCCAGCAAGGGCTATGAAGAGAACTACTTCTTCATCTTCAGAGATGGAGATGGTGTTTACTACAATGAACTTGAGACAAGGTAACTAATTGATCAGAAAATAGCTTGTTTCTTGGTCCATCTAAGAATGTAAAAAGTGATGTTTGCTTTTTAAGAGGAATCATTTCAGCTGGTGTGATTAGATCAAGCTTAAGTGTGGATTTTTATGCCTTAGAAAGTTTAGTGTATATTGGTAACGCACAAAACAAACCGCACCATCACCATGATATTTGGGGCTTTCGTGGGAAACTGTTGGACCTTGTCCTCTAACCGCCTTTTTTCTGTGCTGCAGAGTGCGTCTGAGCAAGAGGAGAGCCAAGGCTGGAGCGCAGTCAACCACAAACGCTGTGCTGGTGTGTAAGCACAGAGACATGAACGAGAAGGAGCTTGAAGCCCAGGTGAGTGTACTTTTTACTTTCCAATTGTTGTTGTTTTCTGACTTGGACTAAAAGTTTTTTCTTTTTTTTACTGTAAGGATATGGGGTGCTCACAGTTGTAAAGTAGGAACATTCCAGATGAACGCTCTGGCTCTTTGACTCTTTCCTAGTTAAACTGGTCAACAATTTAGCTATACTTGCTAGTAGTTTAAAAGCCTCTAATTAGTTTAGGGCATATTTAAAGAAGAACACAGATCGGTTATGATTTTAATATTCTTTCGATAAATTAAAATATGTATTTTTTCTTTAAGGTACTTGTTCCTTATTTAGTCAGTACCTCGTTAAGTTAAAATTAAAATGAGTAAATAAATCATATTTTTTGTCTTATTTAAGTAAAGCTAACTTTGTTTTACTACCTTCATATCTATTTAAAAAACAAGCTAATAAATCATATTTATCATGGATTACACATGTAATACTGATTTACATTCAGTTGGTTATTCAACATGAACGAAACAAAGTAGTTTCAATAGTAAGGTAGTTTGTTTAAACCATATTAGATTATTTGGCATGTAATACATGTTGGCATTTCTTTTGTTTTTAACCATCCGCTCCAACATGACTCAGCTAATCTAATGACTGAAACAGCTATAGCAGTGTAAAGCTGGAGTCTTGGACAACAGTAGTTTACTTGTGACTGATTCAGTTTTATCTTGATTTTCAGGATGCACGTAAAGCTCAGCTGGAGAACCATGAGCCAGAAGATGAAGAGGAAGACCTGGACTTGCTTAAGGACATGCAGGACTCTGGTCAGTTTGCTTTTGATCTACCAGTGTGTATCTCACTACTTTTTATTTATCTGGCTCCTTACTGCACTGTAGTTGAGGTTTGTCAGCTACATTGTTCGTCTTCTGGATTGACGACAGGACTTCTATTTCTATCTGTGATATTTAAACTGCTTCCTACAGGTGATGAGAAAGAGAAGGGCAGTGGCAGTGAGGCAGAGAACTCTGGCAGTGACTCTGAGCGGGAGGAGGAAATACCTGAACCAAAACCAGAGGAAAACGCGGAGGAACAGGGCAAAGAGAAACGTAAGAGGACGACAAGTGGCAGTGGGAGCGAGAGCGGTGGGGAGAGGACCAGAGAAATGCGAGATGAGGAAGAGATCTTCGGCAGTGACGATGACAGTGAAGACAACGAAGAGGAGAACAAGACCTCAGCCAGGAGCAGCGCGGCGGAGGGAAGCGGTAGTGAGGATGAAGGAGCGAACAGAGGAGGCAGCAGGAGCCGCAGCGCCTCTCCAGCACACAGCGAGCGCAGCAGCGGCCACTCGGAGACCCGGGCTCAGAGCGGGAGTGGCAGTGAGAGAGGCTCAGACTCCAGTGACGCCAGTGACAGTGAATGAGATCTGTGATCAGGACAGCAAGGTGACGGCCACCTTTCTTACCTGTATGTTCATCTCCAAGACATCGGTCACTGACCATAACATTAGCGCAGTCTGGGGATGTAGCTTATATATTGCAAATATGAAATGATATTTGTGTGTGAGGACATCTCTTTCCAAACACCTTTTTTAATTGTAGATTTATATCCCACACCTGTAGCCATTTGTGCACCGTATTCTTAAAGGATCAAGTAAAAATGTCTTTGTTCTCTCTGTTTTTGACTTGTCATTGTGTTACGGCTTCGAAGCGGATAATAAAATACAGGTGGATTGTTTTTTTAAGAAGCGTTGGTCAAAGTATTTGTTTTTTTCCCTCATTATTCAATCTGGGGAACCACTTGCATGTAAAAAAAGTATTTTACAATCGGCTTTAAGAAGAACGGTAATTATTTTCGTTTCAAGAAAAAAGTTTACAATCAGTTTACTTGATGCTTTATTCAGAGTATTGGGGAAAAAAAGGGCATTGTTCATGTCTAAAAAGATTGATGACAATAAATAATTGAAATCCATGGGCATTGGTCATGTTTCAACCAAAATAAAAAGTATTGGAGATCCAAATTTAGTTAAAAAATGACAGCTGGTTCTTCAGCCATTCTTCTGTCAAGTCATCAGCATTTCTTGTTTCAAAGACCTCCGCAAAGAAAAACAAAGAGACACATTAATATAAATTAATGTGCAGGTATCATAACAAACAAATGATGCATTTTAAAAGTTTAAATATTCTGATTTAAAACAGTACCTCATCTTAAAGATAATTAAGGTTTTGTCGATATAAAATAATTGTCCCATTTCAATGTATTGCTCAGTATACCACTGGAGTATTGGTAAAGTACGTGTAATCACCTTTGTCAGCTCTGCAACTTGGACCAGTCGATTCTTGCTGCCTGCATACATCATCTGCTGCTCTGGCTTACATCCTGTTCAAATGATTAAACATTTTCCCATAGGGGTTCATCAAACATTCTTTAACTAACAAATGCTACCTTTACATCACTTTTGATCAAGATACCGTGATTACTTACCCATTGGACTAGAGAAGATGAAACACAGAGGGTAAGACACCCTCCCATCAGCATGGACATATTTGTAGCTGTAGACGATGAATGTGCAGTACTGTTAAGGGTTTTAAAACTTTTCAGAGTTGAAGCTGATATACCTTGTGTCAAGCTAAGGATTTGAGTCGGGATAAAAAGGATATCTGGGTTGCCGCTCTGGAAGTTCATTTCTCAAGTCCTCCAGCGAGATGTCCTAAAATAAAAATGTAAGTTACCTTTTAAAGAAAAATGTACAACCCATTAAACAAATGAAAGAACATTGGACTTGCCTCATATTCCTCTTCAAGGATAACATGCTGTTTCACCATGTCTATTTTCACTTAAAAAAAAATCAAACGATTATTTAGGCTTTCGGTTAATTTTGTATGTTAGTTGATGCACTGATATTTGTATTCGATTTCAACTTGTGTTGATCATTTTACAAATACAAATATTCTAAGTACCAAAACATTCAGTATTGGTATTTGATACTTACTCAGTATGGCAGCATTGCTGGTCTCTTTTCGAAATCTTAACTTTTTCAGTTTTTCTTTCAGACTTTCATCCACTTCACACACAACCAGTGAGCTCGACTGCAAAGTGGCATAAAAAAAGGCTCAATGTGTCAGTCTAAGAAATATCAAAATGTCTCCCGTGCTGATAAAGTTATGTGGATTGGTCTACAGGCCGAAAATAGAAACACAAATGTTAAGAGACATATCCTCGGGTCTGTTCAGATTTTGAGGCGCCTATCCACTCTTTATGTATGCATTAAACATTTATAACACTGTTCTGACATATTCAGGGCAGGAAATGTTTTGACTGCAACATGCAAGAATGAAGCTTCCTGTGTGAAACTGAGCGGGGAATGGTCGACTTCTGTCGCAATGGTTAAGTAAAAAATATATAAACACTAAGACGTATGAATGACATCTCATCATATCGAGTGGATTTAAACAGAAAGGCAAAATCTTTCAAACAATTGCATCAGTTTAACCTACCATTCTCAGAGGATTCTTTCCTGCCTTCCTGTATTCAGAGGGGCTTCTTGAAAAAGGCAAACTTGTGACAAACTGACAGCTACTCTCAGACTGTCAAGATCCTCCTCAATGCCAAAGGGAGGCAAGACATGCATCAGCACTGCTTCCTGTTTTGACACAAGTTGAAACCAATAGTTGAAACCAGTGCACAATCAGCAGAGAGTTCTAGAAAACAATCTAAACATCTCTTAGTGCATATGTAATACATGAAGGGAAATCCTTTGCATAAAAAAACCTATAAATCTCACTTTGACAGAAGAAATGTAGTTTAATGGATCCATACTGTTTGAAGTTAAGGAAGTAAAACTTCACCATTTGACTATCAGAATCACTAATGTCGTAGCATCAATGTGATTAGGGATAGTTTCACTTCCAGTTACCATCGAAGTGTGGACATTAAATAGAAACTTGTATAGCACAAAGTTTTGTCATATCCTTTCGCAAAAGCATGATACAATACATTTACACGAGAGTAAAAATATATAGATGTATGTAGTAGAAAAGTAAAACATCTCCATAAAGGTTGGGTGTAGTTACTGCTCTCTAGTGGTGAACACTTTCTTCATGTTGCAGCTCTGGTCACACCCCAGTCAGTGATCTCACAGCAGGTGCCATTCACATCTGTGTGTTCTGTGTCTAGGCTACTGACAGCTGAAGGCAAACACCTACTGTGACAAATGATGTGACTAGAAGACATTTGATTCTAACCCATTCAGACTAATGAGACAGCAGTTTCCTTGATATAGTTGCTGTTGATGCATCCTCAACAGCATCTACTTAATGGAGAAATGTATCTTTATCCTAATTCCTAAAATGATCTTGTCTAGTTAGCTGCAGTAATGTCCAAAATGAGTCGCTCGTTCGCTCCTTTAATTTCCACGACATAATAAACACGACGTTTTTTAATCTGGTGTCAAAACAGTCAATTACCAATTTGTAGATCAGCAGCAAACTGGCACAAATATTAGTCCATCAAGCATAAAGGGGTTTGCTGTTAGTAGAAGAGTCTGGGGTTCAATATCCTTATCAGGAAATTATAATAGAAATGATATTACAATTATAATGAAGAGTGAGGTTTTGCAAATTTATGCTGTTACAAATCAAATATCTTAAGGTTTTACATTGCAAATTAAAGACAATCCCATGGGCTTTGGGGACATCCAATGGAAATTGTTCAGGACTTCCTAACATGTTTTGGATTTATAGATAGGATTAAAAAAAGCCATGTTATTTACCAAAGAAAACCTCAAATGAAACCTTTCTTACCAGGAGGTATATCTATAGATATGCACATGCACATGTACATAAGTTGACCATGCCTACTTATACAAAAACAGAGACAGGTGTTTACTTAATTTCCCCTAACTCATGAACATGGAACATAGTTATGCTTTATATATTTTTTTTATGTCAGGGTAGGAGCTCTTTATTTACCAGACAGTGGGCGGAACAAAACATTACGTACCGTCCAGACGTATGACGTTGTACTTACGTCTTGCGTCAACTCAAATCGAAGTAGATTTCTCCAGGCGTACACTCTTAATTTTCTGCATTGCAATAAACCTTTTGTACATACATTCTTTACCATGGCCTGTTTGAAACCCCGGGAGCTTGCCGCTGTAAAGGAATATCCTTAAGGGATACCTCGAATGGGATCGAAATCAACGCCTCTTTCAGCTAAGCTAACATTATTGCATCTAATAGCAAAACTTGCTAGCTAAGAAGCTAGCGCTAGCTCTTAGCTATCCCTACCCTACCGTCGAGCTAGCTATGCATTAGCACTTTAGCCTAGCTCGCCAACCAGTGACAACTGACAAAGGTAAACAACACACCTTTTGAGTCTGTTTATGGATTATCATAACTCAAACAACTTTAGCGAGTTAACTAGCTGCAACATGCTGACGAATAAAACTGCGTCCTAATGTCCCTGTTTGCACCGCTAAACAGAAGTAACGCTACGATACGGAGAAAATGGGCAGCAATAGCTTTAACGAGAATAAACAATACAACGATTGGATCCCTTAACGCTGGCTTAGCTAACCAAGTTTATGACGTGTGAAAATAAGATTTTTGTAGCATTGAATAACTATGAAGCAATTGTGTGTTGAAAAAGGTTTACTGTTTCGAAGCTTTTATTAGTGAAAATGGCGACACCTGCTGGACAAGCCCTTTGTATTGCATTTGTATAGATGGATTAAATCCAATAAATCTGAGATCATGATACAAAACTGTTAGCTGGTTTAAGGATGTTTCTGTTTTTATTATATGTATTTTGTTTGGTTACATTAATGACACAAAACATCTCACCTTTACTGTTAAATACTAAAGCAACTCATCCCGACGTTAAAACGAGCACGACAGCTCTCTGATACGAGTTTGACTTTACGAGGCCTCGGGTGGTCACTTGATTTTTGGCGTGGTAAAGCGAGACACCGAAATATTTAACATTACTTCTGCTATAAAAAGGTTTGAACGGCGTGATGTGTTGTGTGACTCGAGGGTAACATCACTGCACTAAGCTAAATCTGGCTAACTGCTAATGCTAGCCTGCCCGGTGTAATATTAGCCTGTTTCAACTCAATAAACTTCGCAGATATAATGATAACAACAGTCTGCTGAACCTAATATACAGGCCCTTATGTTTGTTCTTTAATCACAATTTTAGCACATTATGTTACAGGTGCTGCATTTAGAAGTGTTTTGAGTATATAGTTTTGGCATGTAACGTTAGCATACCATTGCCGGTTAGCATATACATAGTGAATTCTATAAAGCTGTTATAAATAAAAGGCACAAGTGGTTGTAAAAGTCACAAGTGGTTGTCACCACATCATTCTTTTGAAAGCAGCCCATTTTGGTGTTGCCTTAAGCATGACTCTGGTAATGGCCTTTACTGTGCAAACATCTTTTGTGAATGACTTATATTTTCATATGACTCGAGCTTTGTTATCAGGATCGAATCTATATGCATTGATGTAGTTTACCAAAAGCTTACCTCAAGTAACACCCTTACAGTTAAAGTTATAACTGAGATGTGTTATATTTCCTATTCTGATTTGAATAAGTCAATGCTGTATGACAGCGTTCTAAAACTTTAAGTAATATTAGTTGTTTGCTCATCATAAACATGTTAAAGCATTTATGTGTGTCCTATATTGTTGTTGTGTGTCATATTATCCTACGTACTGTACAATCCGTCTGTCACCCACTAAGCCTGATGTTCTATCACTCAAGAAAACTTTTTTTGTTTTGCGGCTTTTGGTCTAAAAATAGGCCCAAACAAGACTATTCTTTATTTGTCAAAGGACTCATGTTCACTTGTTTGTATATATACAAGTGTGGTTGGTATTATGCTAAATTGATTTACATAAAAAAGAAAAAAGGTAATCACATTTGGATTGAATGGGTGTATAATGTCTAGATATTTGGTTGGTTAAGGTTATTCATTTAATTTAGAAAAATGCGCTTATTGCCATCTGAAATGTTTCTCTCTGTTCTTTTATTTCAATAGGGCACAGATGATGTGATCCTGAACATGCTAGAGTGAAAAACAAAGCTTTTCCTGTTTGTGGCACTACCAACCACGATTGACACACTATAAGCCTTCCATCCTAGGATATCTTACCAATAATCTACACTGCCACCTGTCTGCAGTTCTTTCTGCACGTGAACCATGTGAGGGCCCCTCGGTCCAGTCTGAGGGGATCCCAGGACTGTTGCAAATACGACCCCGCTGTGCGGGGTGGGACTGATCCTGTCTGCGTCTAAGAGAGCAGTCTTTCCAGTATCCCCCAGCCCAGCCACACGTTACTGTTCTCCCGACCAGGGAGACACGCCATGATGTTCCGGGATCAGGTAGGTATCCTCACAGATTGGTTCAAGGGCTGGAATGAGTGTGAACAGACGGTGGCACTGTTGTCCCTCCTGAAGAGGGTGTCGCGCACCCAAGCTCGCTTCTTACACATCTGCCTTGAACACTGGCTGGCAGACTGCACAGAGATACACATCCTAGAAGCTGAGGCCAACAATGCAGGTATATGAGAGTTTATTATTAGTGAGTGAGTGTTTTGTTATATATATTTAATGATCTCTGTTGATGAAGCATTATTAGAAGTTTCTTCTTCTTAAATGAAAAAATGCCTATATTCAACCACTACTAAAATATGAATTGCTGGTGAATCTCTCTGTATTCCCTTTTGTAAATAGCAATTGTCAGCCAGTGGCATCAAGAGCCAAAAGAGAAGGTTGTGTCCTTGCTGCTGTCCCATCTGCCTCTGCTGCAGCCACGCAACAGCGAGGCCAAGTGTGAGTACATGAAGCTGCTGCAGAAGGTGTTAAGTCACACTATTGAGAGTAGCCTGTTTGTGGAAGAAAGCCGGCAGCTGCTGTCCTACGCACTCATCCATCCTGCCACCACACTGGATGACCGCACCTCTCTGGCGATGTGGCTAAACCACCTGGAGGAGCACCTATCCAGTGGCTACGCCCCCCGGCCCCCATCTAGCCCCTACCACCCTCGCCAAGGCTCAGATGAATGGCCCAGCTCTGCTGAGTCTCTGGACCCGGGCCACGCCTGGCACGACCAGTCCCCTTCATCCAGCACATCTCCAGCAGGCCAGAACGGACACATGCCTTTCCCGGGCGGGATGTCCTCTCCCATAAACAGCAATAACACAGGTGATGTTAGCCATTGTTATTTTTCAAATTTAGTAAAAACACAAGGAAATAGTTTTGTACCAGTGTTTAAGCCATTCTAGACACCCTCTGTTGTGCTAACAGTATGTACCATACAATAATTTCCTTAATTTTTCTCATCAGCATTTCGATTGTTTCTCATATATTAATTGTTTCTATTCCCAGGTCTGGGTGGGCAGATGCAGCCTAGCCCTCTGAAGAAGTCCATGTCCGTTATTCCTTCCAGTCCCCAGGCTTGTGGCTCTGAGTGGGTTACCCATGAGGATATAGGGGGCCGGCAGAACTACATTCTAGACCATGCGCCCCTTTCACCCCAGAGCAGTGTAGCCTCTTCTGGCAGTGAGCAGACTGAAGACCAAGGCTCCGCTCGCAACACCTTCAACGAGGATAGCAGTGGCATGAAAGGTCAGAATTCATCGCCTAACTCAGCCAACGGTGCTCACAAAACCACGCACAGTCCACAGCTGTGGTAATATTAGCCGAAATGTAACATTGCATTTTTTTTGTTCTAGATGTTCCTGGTTGGTTGAAGAGTCTCCGCCTCCATAAATATGCATCACTTTTCTCCCAGATGAACTATGACGAGATGATGATTCTCAATGAACACCACCTGGAGTCACAGGTTTTTAAGCCTCTTTTTTATATACACTGGGGCTGGGCTTTGATTACTCCACCCTCCTTATCAATTGTGAACATTATGGGCCTCTAACCTCATGATACATCCACTCTCAATGAGGCATGAAATTAACCGACGCACCCCACAGTTATATGGAGCCTGTCAAACATACAAATGGTGGATTTTGCCTCTGGCCCTTGGCTTTAATGAAACAAATGGTGATTAGGTTTGTTATTTAGTAACTGTATAAACTGCACAGTGTTCCCACAAGGGATAACTCCCCTGCTTCTCACGGCAACTTGTTACTTTCTCTCCCCGTCTTAGAACGTCACTAAAGGAGCGCGGCATAAGATCGCCCTGAGTATCCAGAAACTGCGAGAGAGGCAGAGTGTGCTCAAGTCTTTAGAAAAGGTAATTCAAGTGGGAGGATGATGCTCTTCCCTTTCTAAGAAAAAGGGCAAACTTGTTTTGTTTGAATTAATTTGTGCTTGTCGTACTTAAGTATGTACTTGTTGAGGATTACGTGACACTTGAGATACTTCCATTCTGTCTATAGGTAAAGAAAGTGTATGCTGTCAACGAGTCTAAAATCCCGTAACCCCAAATTGACCTCTGAATAACCGACGCAGTATGTGCCACTAATGTTGTCATCTCACGGCAGGATATCTTGGAAGGGGGAAACCTGCGTAATGCTCTCCAGGAGCTACAGCAGATCATCACCACACCCATCAAGGTCTACTGCCCCCCCAGCGCAGCACAGATGCTCCTGGACGCAGCCATGGCCTCAGACTCAGCCACCTCCTCGACAGAAGCCACGAAAACAGGAGCAGACAAAGAGACTGAGGGCTTCCAGTCCCACAACCCCCCCTCCTGTGACGGAGACTCCTCAGCCACACCCATCTCAGACGGCGACATTGCAGGACAGTTCACCCGGGTCATGGGTAAAGGTAAGAGTAAGATGTTTTTTCCCATAATGAATTTGATCACACTTAGATTGTAGACTTCCAAGGGAGTTGTCGTCTGTCTTTATAAAGTGCTCTTTGACAACACACGTAAGACACAATAAACAACATAGTAAAATACTGTAATAAAACTGTTCAGGCATTTTATCATTTTGTCAGCATTCAACATAAAACGCATGCCAAGTGCTATATTAATTATCCATATCCACCTTCCAGATCCAGGTTTACTTTATAGACATGAATACATAAACAGGGGGGGTTGTCATGGTACACACACTTCTTGGGTTGCCCTGGTTTTGAGGTCAATGTTCAGTATTTATTTTGGTTCACAAAAACACAAAGAAATGCAGAAAATAATGTTTCATCTATTTATTATTAGCCATTCAGTTTGATTTTATTTCGGTAACTGACACTTTCCTGCAATGTCTTTGTTAATAAAGGAATGAAGTATATCCACAGACATTCACCACTTTATTTTAACAATATCATTATTCAGTTCCTAACAAATTGTTGAATGGTTGAAAGCATGTTGAAGCTGCTAAAGTACAACTGGTGCTCTGCAAAGCTTTTCAGGTAAAACTTGCATCTAGAAAGTATTTTGTGGCGGTGTAATAGACCTAAATACTGTATTGACAGTTTAAGTCACAGTGTACAGAACTGAGGGTGGAACGCCAAACCAAACGCCCTGTACCGAATGGTTCGGGACAAAAACACATAACATTATAGAATTAATATAAACCCTGGATTTTTTGTTTCAGTGTGCACTCAGCTGCTTGTGTCCAGGCCAGATGAGGAGAACATCAGCTGTTACCTTCAGCTCATTGAGAAGTGTCTGACTCATGAGGTGAGAACCTGAAGGTTTTTTTTCTGCTGAATTATGCAAGTATGTGTGTTGCAATTGTTGTAAAGGCCTCTAGTAGTCGGACACTACAATGAATCATACTTAAATTACATAAAGACACATTTACATGCAATTCAGTATTATAGAATCTTGTTATCATCTCCATTTTTTCTTTTGAGATGAGGAATACAAATGTTTCTTTAAAAAATCACAAATTCCAGGAGTTAATACCCTGTTCATTCTCTTTGAAAATCTGACGCCTTTTATTCTTCTGCTGTCTCTTTTACTCCATGTCAGGCTTTCACAGAAACTCACAAGAAAAGGCTGGTCTCCTGGAAGCAGCAGGTCCTCAAACTGCTTCGCCTGTTCCCTCGGAAAGCTATGCTGGACATGCCTGTGTACCGACAGAAAGGGTGAGAGTCTGCCTGCCCTCTCTACCTTTGATCTCCCTCTCCAGCAGGGGAGATGTCAGAACTTATGAATGTTACATTTCTCTGCACCCATCCCTACTGTCTAACTTTTATCTCTTTCACTCCCACTTCCAAATTCTTAGAATAACTATCATTTTAGGTGACAGTTGTCTTACATGGATTGCTAATGTATGTTCCCGTTTGCTTGTTTTTTTGCTCTAGCTGGACCTATGGGTCCAACTCCCTCCCCACAGCAGGCTCTGTGAGTGGAGTGGTAGGGCGGCGGGGGCAAAGGGCGTTCCAGATGACTCCTCGTGGACTCCCAGCCGGGCGCATCGGTCTGCTGAGTCCCGGCGGGATAGGGGGAGCATCCCCACGCCACACACTCACTAATCCTGCGCTGGCAGGCCAGGGGAGACAAGTCAGTATTGGTGCCAATGGACGAGCATTTTAACCCCAGTCTGTGCCACGTCTACCGAAACAGATCGGATCTAGCAGTGATGTCATATTTTATCTATTGTTTGGTGATTTTTTTATTTATTTATTTGAATTAAAACCCTTTGTACTTAAAGCGGACTAGACAACTGAAAGCACTAACCTGATTTCAATATTTCCACTCCTTTATTTGAAATCTGCATAATGTCATGCCCAAGGAGACAAAACAGGCCTGAGTAAACATTTGTTCTGAAAAACAAGTGAGACAAACAGGAGACTTTGGCAGTTAAGACAGTTAGGGATCACATTTTGATTGAATCTTTATCATACCTTGAAGAGTTTCTCTGTAATGACTTAGGTGAGAGATAATAAAGGTCCTCCCAGGATGAGTGGCATTTGAGTAATGAGAACTTGTTGTTTTCCTCTACAGAACCTGTGGTTTGCCAACCCTGGGGGCAGTAACAGCATGCCGAGCCAGAGTCGCAGCTCCGTGCAGCGGACACACTCACTCCCTGTCCACACCTCCCCTCAAACCATGCTCATGTTCCAGCAGCAAGGTATGTATGAGGTCAGGCCTCTTTTGCTTTTTACTTACATGGGCGTATGTAACCAAAGTCTGTCCCTGCCCTTGTTTTCATTTGAATTTTCTGTAGTCTTTGCTACAATGTACAAATGTTACCAGACCAGCGATTCCTATGTGTTGCTTATCTATAAGCCCTTTTCATTATTTAGGTGAAATCATAATTTTTTTCCTAGCTAGGCTTGGTGGTTTTGCTCTAGTTGAATGTTTTAAAAGCATTTTTAGCAGTAGAAATGCACCACACTGATACACACTCTTTACAACAGATATCAGTACAAGAATAAACACAGTGAACAAATGATTACAAAAACAACCTCAAACTAAGTTTTATTTTACTTGATTCACAACAAAGGTAACCCCACCCTAAGGGACATTAGAATGACTGACTGTGTTGGAAAACTTTGTGTTTACTACTGTTTTCGATTTGATAGTGTCTGAATTTGGGAGTAACTATAGTAACTGCAAAGTCGTAACAACATTAACAGAACATTTTGATAATATATCACATATGTCATTCTCCCTGTTAATTGATTGAAATGAATGTGATTATATAGTTGATGTACAACTGCTGCCTGTAGCTTTAGCAGTGTGTCAGCTCTGTTGACTTCAGTTGTTCTGCATTATTATTATTATTATTGCACGGTCAGACGCCTGCAGACATTAAAGAGCTGCTGCAGCCTCACATCAGCAGCAGGTCTCAGATCAGGGTTTTCTAGGTGTTCCTTGCTCCACGCCTGAGACCAAAGGCGACTGTGCTTTTGAAGTTGTAGCCCCCGAAACTGGAAAATCTCTCCGATTTGGTCTGTGGACAAAAAAAACTGCAGCCAAGGACTTTTTTTATTAGACTTGCTTTTTCTTAGCTTTGGTGGATGAGCTTGACGTCTGCATTTTCTGTCTGTTGTTTTGTATTTTCCTTACATATTTTGTATGTTGTTGTGAAGCACTCGTTGATGACTACTCTGTACTGTTATGTGGCAGATTCAACTGTATGTGTGACACAGAACCAAATCCCCAGGTAATGAGCATAATCGGGTCAGAGAATTGTTTGAACATTAGAATCAGAATCAGAATCAGAAACGGGTTTATTGCCAGTTAAGTTCACACATATGAGGAATTTGACTTGATGTCATGGTGCATACATAAAATATAAAAGAAAGAATCTCCATATAAAACAAAAAATCTTTAAGGACACTGTAATAAAATATAGTTAAATAGCAATAAAATAAAGCAGTAATTTACAGCAAAATGGAATGCAATGAGTTATAAAATATGAAATTAACTTAATCGGAGTTCTTCAGCAAATGGGTACAGGATATTTTCACTTAAACAAGATAATAATAATATTTTTTTCCAGGTAAATCAGCAAATTAATGACTTTTACTTTGATACATATTCAACTATGATTTAGTGAATTTAGAGCGCTAAATCAACGGACTGAATGGCATTCCTGACTGTCATACAAACCTAAATCTTCTTTCCTTTTGTCCTCCTCCTCTTAGAATGCCAAGTTCCCGGTGCAGACCTGGAGATCAACCCCACATTGGAGTCACTATGCCTCAGTATGACGGAGCATGCCTTAGGGGGTAAGTGTCCTCAGCAGCCCGCTGCTAAAGCTACCGACTACACAACAGCACCAAATTCAGTCCATTAAGTTGGCCATGAAAGAAAATAATTTAGTGAGGGATTTGTGTCCACCAGGAAGACATACTAACTTGGTCAAAGTTTGTTGACTTTTATCATTCATATTTAATTCATTACATTTGTTTATTAATTATTAATAACATCGGGGAAAAAATAACATCTGAATAATGTCGTTAGTCAAGTCACGGTATGGGTCCTCTTGCTGAGACATAGAGAAAGACACACACTTATCTCTGAGCATTATATGGTGTATCTAAATTACAACATCTGCATTATTGTGTCATACAAATTTAAGGGTTAGTAGCTCTGTATTACTTCTCTCTAGTGTTGTGTGACTGACACAGAAAAGTGTCCCTGTTGCATTAATGTTTATATAATATAAGAGAGTAAACTTTATGTATTTCCCTTTTATGTCATAGAGACAGATGAGGTTACTGAGATATCTATAGTTTAGCCTAGTTTAGCTTTCTTTCTAGATGTCTAAGATCAATTATTAAGGACACTGGAATGTATCCACAAACAGCAGTGGCAAATAAAAGACATGCTATCATACTTCATGTTTTGCTTTTTAAAGGAAATAGCATCAAACCTCCTTTCAATAACATAAACAGCCATTGTAGAGGAAGACATGTTGACGACAATAGCCACAAAGTAATTTGAGAAGAGGTTAGTGTTATGGTTTGCCAATGTGGGGAAGGAGCTGCTATTTATCTAGAAATATGATGTGTTCAATGGCTGACATGCCATCCAAGTGCATTCAATAAATGTAAGAAATTCATGGACACATAAAACGACATCAATAACATACTTTTGCTCCTGGGAGAAAAGGGACTAGAACTATTCCATTCCTCTTAAGGATAACGTGTATATGGTGCAATATATTTTCTGATTGTAAATGTCTTGAAACATGTTTATTTCCAATCTCCTCCTCAGATGGAACAGACCGGACATCAACGATATGAAAGGAAGAAATAAAAAAAAATACACTTCAGTTGAGGCCTGTTCAGTTCCTCATCACCCAGCACAAAGATATACGTATGCTTAAGAAAACCAGGCAAAGCAGTCACTACAAAATGACAAAAAAACTGTGTATATGTTCTCTAATATTTTTGTACTTTATTATATACAACTAAGTTTATTAAAAATGGAATACAGATGATTATTATATTGCAGGACAGAGAAAAAAGCAAACTGCTCCATGTCACCTGCAGGACTGTGACATGATGTGCAGAGGCTCAGTTTGCCGTGGTCTGAGAGAAAAGCGGTGGATTGGTGCTGTCTTAAACGGGCTCTGCCCTACAAGTTACTCTTCTTTTCCTCCTGCCTTGGAGCAAGGCTTCTTTCCAGAACACACTGACAGCCACAGCCCCTGCACCACATGAGTACATTCAGAAAATGTCCAGCCAGAAGTAAGGCACTTTCATTAAAAGATCTCTGATATTATCCACTAAACTGTAATTGGCCCTAGGAAACACTGAGGTTCCACTTGTAGACAGTTATTGAAACGGATACCAATACCCTTTCTTGCCACCCTTATTGTTCTCTAACCAGTGCAGTGCTTGTGTTAAGGTGATGGCTCGTATTGGTTGAAACTTAGAACTCTTTCCTTGATTCTTTTATCCTCTCTAGAGGACTGGTTTTCATGGCAAGAGGAGGACCAAAAGGATTAAGGTAAAGCTTGTAATTCAACCATTTTTCTCTTGGTTATTTTCCCTGAACACATAGTCAAAGAAGAAGTGACTACTGTCCTCCTCTAAACATTTACAAAGCCAAAGAGAAGGGTTGTGTGATTGTTAATTTGCAAAGGCTATTTGTAGTGAAGTGCAACAGAATGGTATAATTTTTCTTTTAAAAGAACAGCAGCCTGAATAATTTATGCCAGCTGCAATTTGTCTGTTATTTTATGCCCTACTATGTGGATGATGATGAATCCCATTTTGTGCCGAGGAAAATCACCAGAGGGGTGAATAAGGGCTGGTGAGGTTTGTGCTGTGCGAGAGCTGATTTGATATTGAACTGATAAAAGCGAGGAGGGTAGAGTGTTTTCAATTTACACTTTAAGCTGGGCGAGAAAACTAAATGAAACCCATCTCAACCCTCCGGCCACCTTATGATTGGCTCTGGTAAATGAAGCTTGAGCTTGTAATAAATGCTCCGGAGCGCAGCGCTTCACCCTTGCAGTGCCCTCTTCCTCAAATGGCCAACGTGACGATTTGATGAATCATTCTTTTCAAGGTGCTTGATGATGTCCATATTTTCTGTTTGTGTCTCAATGTGTTTCAGTCTCCGAACCCTAACATGATCATGTGGTATCAGTGTTGAATCAAAAAAACTTGTCTTATACAGCCTCTGTCTTTGAATGTGGCAGAGCGGAGGTGCATGTATGTGTAATATGGTCTTAACTTTTGGATTGCATCATAAGGCAGGGATGACCATTCACGTTTTATTTCAGCACAGCCATCGGAGTGTGTCTAGTAAAGATGGTTATTTACAGATATCTTTTCCAATTGTATTTTGTACTCTCCCTTGGTATTGATAACTTATGCTTATTTTCTATAATCGCATGTTTTGCCACACTAATACAGCACTGTTGTAGATAGAGGACATGGTGGTTGATGGGGCCCAGTGTCACCAACAGCTAAAGCAGAAATCTTGCAACTAATGTTGTATGTTTATACCGCCTAAATTTCAATGTTTACATCCCTGGGATAATGCCTAATTCATTTTATCTGATGTCATGAATACTCCATTGTCTCACTATGTAACGCATTAAAGAACTGACGCCATCTCACACGAGATGGCTGGGTAGAGCCTGAACTGAAAGCCATCTACCCCCCTAATTCATGGAGTGTATGAGCCTCAGTAGGTTCATTTCAAGTGGTAACTGTATGGGCATGTAACGCCTACTTTTTCTGGTCATACGGTGACTAGAGATAGCTTTTCTCGCCTTGTGATTGCACTTTGGCTGTCATGTCGTGATCAACTGTTCATGTGGTGCCTGAAATGCACAGCTCCAGCATCCTTAATATATCAATTTAATGGTCTTGAGTAATGTTCTAGTCAAGGATTTCTTCAGAGCAGGCTCTTGGATAGATCTGACTTACTAAAAGCATCACACTCACTCGTCTTCAGTGAGTTAACAATGCTGACAACTTTAAGACTCGGCTATATTATTTTTAACTTCACTATACTGTATATCAATTATGTTATGTTACAAATGGCTCAGATGATCCTTTTCATTGCCTCTGTGGATTTGTACAGCCTACATATTACTGCAAAATAAGACAGGTACAGTGAGGCAGGTTTCTGTAAATGTCCTTGCAGAATCAAGACGCATCAGAGGATGACGATGCTTATCTGAGCCACAGATTATGTGATTATGAGTAAACTGACACTAATAACAGGCCAAGGAATATGTTTACTCCATGTTTACATTCCACTGATGCATGAAATGAGTTGGAAAATGCACTTCACAAGCATCCACTAGGAGGTACAGAGCCTGTGTCACATGGAGACGTCTACCAAGTGGTCCCAAGATCATGTTAAAGTCCCTGCCAGGCTTAATTGTTATTGAATTGATGCAGCCAGATGTAGGCTACATTGGATAGTTGTCTTGTACAATTTATATTTAATTCTGATTACACCCTGACATTTTCTAATATTTTATGAACCTTTTGCATCCCATGCTTATTCTACTTTTGTACTGTCACTCATGTGTGAATGGTCTGAAGTGCAGCATCCGTCGGATCATTGACAGTCGAAATAAAGAGGTTCAGTTATTTTGCAACTTCAGTTGTGGTTTGTCTTTTCGTCTACTTTCTTTTTTACACTTGTCATGCCTTTTAGCAGTTGGGGAAAAAAAGCTATTTGTATTAGTCTTAAATGTCATATTAAAGACATCCTTAATGTCCCGTTAATATTACAACAATTAAGTTTTACTTCCGGGTTACACGATTTTAGCCGAGTTCATTTATCAAGCCGCCTTTTTGTTAACGCCATTAGTTTATCTAAGAATAAAGAGAAGCCTTTTCATCTGGAAACTTTACAACAGCTGCTGAGGTTTGTACACATGTTGTGTTATGTTTGTGAAGGCTAGATATAAGTTGCCATCAACAAAATGTAACACTTTATCCTGTAGCAATGAGTAGCCTACCCAAGTTAGCAGATAGCTAGCTGCTGCTAACTTAGCCGAACAGCTGCTCGGTTTTAGCCTGGTAGCTAATGTTATTGTTATTGCTTGAACATTTATAATTTGATCAGTCGATGTGCTCGGAGAGTTTGTCAAGTAGCAGACGCTTGCTAGTGTTAGCTTAGGTTGTAGCGTTGAAAGTTTGGATTTGTTAATCGACCGTCCACCTTTTCTCGCAAATACTAATGTTTTTTAATAGAGGACATATCCTGTTCAGGAGAAGAGCGTAGTTGATAAGCAATGTAGTTCTCTCAATTTATACCAATTCATACCGGTAGCTAAATATTCTGGTAACCTGCGAGTTGGTCGCTGGCGTAACGTTATACAACTGTGCATTTTACGTGATTTTCATTAACTTTCGAACATTTTTCACGCTTAAAACTAACTTTTTTTATGACACTTTCAAAGGAAGTAGATGGTATACCAAGTAGTCAAGCGCATATGTAGGCCTAGTTGTATTTATTTATTCAAGAAGGGACAATGCACATTAATTAACAGGAGCACGGAAGTCCATCATGTAAATGTGCTATTTAGAAAAAGAAAACACCTCTAAAATGTTGAAACATTAACATGGCCTTCAGGAAGTTAGTATTTGTATCAGGGCAGATGGGTTAGCACTAGTTTCAAGTGTATCCATATTAATATGACTATTTTATCTCAAAAAGTTAATTACCCTTACCTTGTTTTCCAGGTTGTTTTTACTCTGTGACCACAATGCATGGACAATGATGATGAAGCTTCAAACTAGAGATGTGGATTGGAAACTTCCTGCCAAAAGCTAACAGCAATTACAAGTCACCCATTGGCAACACGTTTCAGTTTTTCTCATCACATAATCTATCATGTCATTACCAAAGGAGTCAGGAAACCGAGGAAAAGATCGAGAGAGAGGGGCTCGTCCCAAAGTGAGACAGAGCCGTTCTGAGGAGAGACGAGATGCACGCAGTGGACGCAAAGGTGGAAAGGGGAAGAAAAAAGGCCATGCTTCCTATGAACCAGCAGCTGAGAGGCCTGTCAGTGATGGCTTTCAGTATGGTGAGCTGTTGAGTGACCTAGAGACCAGGGACCAATCCTCCTCCTCTTCTTTGAAAGAGAGTTGGAGATGGCAGGGTTTGGAAGCCGCTGCCTCATTACTAGGACAAGAACAGGTAACAGTCAGGCCTGGACTGGGAACAGTTTGCTCTGCTACAGAGAAACCTGGCGAAAGTGAGAGTAGAGGGTCAAGCAGCACACGGACGCCCTGGCAAAAAATCCAAGATGCAATGGGACAGTGTTTCCCAATAAAAACTCACAGTGCAGCCGCACCACCACCTTCTCAATCTCCGTCTCCACCTCCAGAGGCTCCTTCACCGTCAGCTGCCTGTGCATCCTCGAGGCGCCTGATCCACCTCAGTGAGTTGATGTTGGATGACTGCCCTTTCCCTGTAGGATCAGAGCTGGCTCAGAAGTGGTACCTTATTAAGCAACACACAGCACCCATCACCCAGCCTCATGTGCTTGATTCCGAAGTCGTGTGCAGTGCGCCGACTTCGGCCATGGCTGCTGTGGTGGAGGACGTAGATGACAGGTTGCGAGAGCGCAGGCGCATCAGCATTGAACAAGGCGTCGAGCCACCACCCAACGCAGAGATCCACACATTTGAGGTGACGGCCCAAATTAACCCTCTGTACAAGCACGGCCCCAAGCTGGCTCATGGTATGAGTGAGTTAGCCGAGGCCGAGAGAGCCTCCGTACATCAGCAGCAGCAGCTCCTTCTCCAAAGACAGCAGCAGCACCAGCTCCTTCTGCAGAGCTGTTTGGACACTCTGGATGAGGTGGTTGCCTCCGCCTCTGCTTCAGCCCCCTCCCAGACCTGTGAACCTATCCCTGACCCTCTGGTTGACCCAGAGGTGTCAGCGACCAACGTGCCCTCCAAAGCCATTCTTCCATCGACCGAGGATCACAAACATCACGATGGCTACCGCATTCATACTCAGATTGATTACATCCACTGTTTAGTTCCAGACCTGCTTCAGATCACGAACCTCCCGTGTTACTGGGGGGTGATGGACCGCTACGAGGCAGAGACGTTGCTAGAGGGAAAGCCTGAAGGCACCTTTCTGCTACGTGACTCTGCCCAGGAGGGATACCTGTTCTCTGTTAGCTTCCGCCGCTACGGCCGCTCACTCCATGCACGCATTGAACAGTGGAACCACAATTTCAGCTTCGACGTGCATGACCCCAGTGTCTTCCATGCTCCCACCGTTACGGGGCTGCTGGAGCACTACAAGGACCCCAACTCCTGCATGTTTTTCGAGCCCCTGCTGTCGAACCCCATCTATCGCACACAGCCCTTCACTCTGCAACAAATCTGCAGAGCGGTCACCAGCAGCTGCACAACCTATGATGGCATTAACATGCTACCCATTCCTAATGCTTTGAAAAAGCACCTGAAAGAATACCACTATAAGCAGAGAGTACGTGTACGGCCAATGGATACCTGGTGGGAATGAAGAAGAACTAAAATAATAGACTAAAAGGACTAAAAGAAACTACTAAATACTCCCAAAACTGAACTGAACCAAGAGTTCTTCATTCAGTCTGCCTGTATTAACCTACACTGTTAACCTGCAATATACTTATTTATTTTATTCCTGCTGTACATGTCCTAACAATTCTACTAAATTACACTGATGTTACTATATAATCTCACTGATCGTGTAGACGCAAAGTTCTTTATGCTCAAATTAAAGAAAGTTATTTAGATCAGAACTACGCTCACACATCCTCTGTGTTCTCAAGTGTGACTAAATCAGCTTAATTATCTGACGATGGGAAGCGTGTCCTAGTGTGAGTCGAGATGATTGTAATAGAGGTGTTCATCAGACACGTGCTGAGAAGGTGGAATACATACTGACACGGTTTTCTTCTTGTTTCTGAGGTGTGGTAGTGTTGAACAATCAAACTAATAGTTATTCTTTCCCACAATTAACCCACCACTGATTAAGGGGAGGAGATTGTTTTGGTGCAATGCTCCCTCATATTTATTAAAAGTAAAGGCTTGCACTATAAGAGGTATTATTCACACATTGAGGTATGATCTTGTGCTTGCATAAGTATTCTGTCAGGGTGCAAATGTGTCAGATTTCCCCAGCCACTCATTAGATTAGCATTTGGATGGTAATGGTGCTCATTGTGTGCCTTGTTTTCACGGGTGGTTCAAATGCAGGGAAAGAAGGAATACATTATGATCAGATTTAACATCATTCAGTTGCTTTGTTTTTGGCTAAGATTGAAACCATCTCAGGTATTCTGCCAGTGCCGGCGGTCTTCATTAATTTTGAAGTAAAGGATCAAATGTGACCCTACTGAACTTGTCAGCAGCAGGTGATGCAGCTGTATTTTCAGAATACAAATAATGAAGCACAGACGACTGAAAACCTTATTTTGCTTAACATCTTACTATTGTGTTGTCGAATTCTAAATGTAGTCTCTCTAAGGTTAGAGCTTTGGTCTGGCTGTTTATAAATTGGCATCTAATTGCAATGTAAAGACCTGAATCCTTAAGAAATGTCATGTTGTTGCTTTACTTCCTGCTGTGCTTAATTGTTTTTAAAGAGGATCGGGGGGGTGTCTACACACTCATTTTCCATTCCAAATTACCATAGTAAATTAGCACTTATTAATCTTAATTAACAAAATGAAGGGTGTGAGGAATTATGGCTTTTGAGCTTTTTTTCTGAAGCTCGACATGTCGGTTACGGAGACAAAAATCTACAAGTTCCCGAAAGATTAATTAGTCTCAAGCAAAGACCTAAAGGCACAGAGGGAGCTAAATAATACAGTATGAAGTCAAGGGACATGTGCTTTCACGCAGTCACACAAATGGACCGCAATTTACAATATAGTATTATATTGTGTTATATGTGATTTGTTGAACAAATAAAATATGCATATTAATTATATTAAAATACCTTGCAATAATTATCTGTACATTGCAGATGGCCTTTCTGCATACGTACAAATAAAACACAACACAATAAAAATTAAAAAGCAATTATTTCTCGACCGACTTGCATTTGCCCGATTATTTTAAACTCATTCAAGGATTAATTGCATGAATTACCTATGGTTAGGAGTCATTTACTGCTATGTGGGATTCACATTTAGTTATAATGAAAACGCGAAAGAAAGACCACACTGCTAATGGTTGTGTGCACTAAGTAATAATCACAAAAGACAACCATGCCAGTGTTAATGTGAAAGCATGGAGAATTGATCCCAGATCATCTTTTGAACCCCTGAGATGCTGTTTTCTCCTTGAGATGGCCAATTTGATATGCAGAATGTAAATCATCCATGACAAGCACTCTTCCACTAATGAAGCAGCTATAATTTAAACGGCAGCATTAAAGCCTTCATTCAAAATGCAAAGTCAGGACCTTTGACCTTTGTATACCTAATTAAGTCATCACAAAAACTCAACTATAAAATCAGAGTTACTGTGTTGGAAGACATTTGACCCATCATGCATACACAAGTGTGTGCTCTGAACCCTGTAGACAAGCAATTTTAGATCGCTCAAGGCTTATGTCTTGTATTTCTAGCACACTACAATGCCCTGCAATCACACATACCTGGCAGATGGGATCCAATAATAAACATTTCTAGACTTTTAACACTTCATTTTGTGTCCAATAGTTTCTCATTTTTATTTAAAGGAGCTAATAATGTGCTATAATTAACTGTTTGTTTTATATTTCCAATATAATAATGTCCTAGTGTAACCAGAAAGTCTTTGCTGAACATGCACATTTGACAAATTAGTTTACAGGCAAGTGTACAATTGAATATTGTCCAAATATCACATTACATCAGCTTTTGTAACTAAAGCAACGTGTAATCAGTGCAAGAGGATATTCAGTACAGCAAGAAATTGGCAAGTAAATTAGTTTAGGTGGTACTGCATTCAAATCAATTATAAAGTAATAATGAACACAAATGTAGTTTAAATAGAGCAGTTTATTCTACTTAATTCCTGTGCAAATCCTTAATTGAGTACAGCCTTAACTCAACACAACGATCTAAACCGTCTTTTTTGCCTCTATTTTCCCTGTACCTAGTCATAAATTAGATTGTTAATTGAATGAAATTGCCCTTGACATTATTAGGAAATTACAGACTCATAAAATAAAGTGCTACCTATACAACATACAATTATATAGCCTAGTAATTACGCACATTATCTTCACAAAACAGCACATACAGTTTTTAAAAAAAAATCTAATACTGGGTTCCCGTCAGTGCTGTATTACATGAAGCACAGCAGGTGGCTGCAAAGAGCTTCTGAGTTATTTTACAATGGCTGCCACCAGGCCTGTGTGTTCTCTATTTGGGGTGGATAGAGATGGTGGGAATGAGTGTTGATGCTGCAGCTGGCAGCACTGTGGCACTCATCACGCAGGTATTACAGGTCCTGTGGGAAAAGGGAGGACTTTTCTTCGCCTGGATCAACGGGCCCAGAGGGACAGCATGCTCAAGCAAAGCAGAAAGCGTATTGGCTACACATACTTAGTGTGTTTGTGTCTGTTTGCTCCTCTTTTTTCCCTTCCTTCCATTGAGGGAAGAGCTTTTACCCTGAGCCTAATCTCTACAGTTGAGCATCATGGGGGTGGAGAATAAGCTTGGAGTACTCAGAACACCTGGGGACAATTACTTCCCCAAGTAGTAATCGTGCCGCTAATAATCTAACAAACGCCCTCACAGGGCCCGCCGTGGCACACACTTGGCTTTTCTGAGGCTAAAAATGTGCAGTGACTGGGCCTGTTTGTATGTCTATGCTTGGCTGCTGCATGTAGACCCATATAGATTGTGAACTCAACAACCATGAGATGCAGTGTGTATCTAGGACATTAATTCAGAGGAGGATGCATCAAACTGATTTCAAGTTTTTGCAAGATGCATAAGGCCAGACGTGATTCTTATCCACCCAGAGAGCAGGAATACATTTCTGTGACAGATCACTGCACTGCAGCTGAGAGAGTTATTTTGGGTCGGTTTATGAGTCGCGCTGAATTTGAACCTTGACTTAACTGGGAACATTCTTGCATATATTTCAAATTATACCTTTTTCAAACTGCACAATTTGTCAAACCAAATAAATATTTCTGAAGTTAATACAGTTTCAGTTCTTAAAAGTCTAACAATTTCTCCCTGAGGAGGTACATTGCCACACAGTGACACACATACGCTTGATATTTGTTTCCCTCGAAGCAAGCCTTTGACAACAGAATATTTCCTTTCCCTTCTATTTAAAATCCAAATGCACTCCCATTCTCTCAGGCGAGTCTCATATGAGGCATTTGCTACAAAAATACATCAGTATTGTAAATTGGAGCTGCTTGTGTTCTTCCTGTACAATCTGCCTCTGTTGTCCGCTCTCCCCTGCTATGACAGCTTGTTGATGGAATAATGGGGGTGTTGGGCATGCTACAGCTAAGCCATTTGATACTACACAGATTGATGGGTTTGCAGTGTAAATGACACACAGCCCATATCCTAGGCTTCAGCCTATAAAGTCATTAACTAACAGCCTGGAAATAATGAAGGAATATATCGTGGACAGATGATGATGTTTGCTTGTTTATATGAACATATATACTGTATATGATTAGCTTTGCTAATTAACATATCCGGCAATTTTCTATTTTCATTTGTCAAAATTAAGTTGTGTATCATAATGTGTTTGTAGCCTACTACAAATGGGCTCCAATAGAGCAACAGATAATATATGTAATTATAGATAAGCATTGTTTGTTTTGAGGAGACTGGTCCATTAAAATAAGCATTCACAATGATAGCCATAGAAAAGACCCCGTCATTATTGATAAAAGGTAGGGGAACATTTATAATTGCATAAATCCTGCTCTCTTGGACTTTTATGATGTTGCAAAACAGCTGCATTGACCGGTGTGATAAAATGAAAAGTACAAACGAGAACGGAGGGTAGACCTTGCCAGCTAGTTATCACAAGACTCATTCGTCACAGTGGGCAACCTTTAAACCGAGTGATATTTTCCGGTAATCATTTCTCATCCTTTTAACATTTTGCCACTGAGCGAACACACTCAATTTGCAGGGAAATATGTAGTCGGAGTTCAGGTAAATTCATCTATATTTTAATTCTAATTATCCTTTGCACCAATTTGCTGTAGCATAGCCTGTACAATAATTAACATTAACCTTTATGCAGGCAGATGTTTGCGGTAAAAATGTGATTTTCTAAGGCTGACCGGCTTAAAAGTTTGATTTTAGTTGTTGTATAAGTCAGCAATGGCTCAGCTTTTGTTGGTGCCTCTAATGTAATCAGTTTCGAGAATTTTAGAGTGATGATTACAATGCAATCACATAGCTGCAAATTTGTTTTACTCGGACAAAGGCCTGCAAAACAAAACACAGGCGATTTTTGTTATGTTGACATTTCAAACTTTCTTAAAGACTTTCCTATAAAGCTAAAATGAAAATGAATACTTTTGTACTTTGCATGTTGTTTGTTGAATAACCAGAAGTGTCGTATCAGGGTGCTCGTGTCATATGCTACAGGAACAAATAATTAATTAAGACAAAATTGTTTATATGAATGATAAGAATATTTTGATCTAAAATAATCTAATCCAATACATTTCAAAGATAATGTAATTTCTTATAAAGAAAAGGATGTGGTTGTGCATGCCGGGTAACGAAAGGAGAAGGGACCTCATTATGTTACTTCC